CGTTTGCATTTATTGTTTAATTTTTTATATATTTTGTCTTTTTTTTTGCATATATACGAATTCACAGATTCTGTATATCTCTTTCTATATATATGCGTGTGTTTGTATATCCTTTTTATTTATTTAAAAATTCATAAGTACCGTGTTATAGTGTAAATATGTGAATATATTTTATAATGTTTTTTATTATTTATTTATTATTTATTTTTTTTTGTTTTTGTAGATTTAAGGTAGGTGGCGGAATTTAAGTAATAAATTTTGCATGCCGGCATGCAAAAGCTACTTAAATTTTAAAAGCAAAATTTTAAGTTGGATTTAAAAAATGTACATTGCTACATATATATATATATATGTTATATACAAAAAAATATTTAAGAATGGACTTAAGTTGAAACATTTTATAAAAGAAGCTTTTATGTGGTTATTTATTTTTATCTAAGTACAGGGGCATTTTGATATACTTCTAGTTAGCTATGAAATGTTTATATTGCATTATTGTTGGGATGTACATTTCGTATGGTCGGTATATCTATATTAAATAGTATAGTTTAGTATATATACTAAAGTGAATGCGGAAATTTAGTGGAAGTCACTATTTATATCACAGTGGTGTGGTCTTAATGGTGTGGTCTTAATGGTGTGGTATTAGCTAGACTATATATTATTGTACTAAGTATAATGAAATTATTTTAATGTTGGTTACACAAAAGTTGCTAAATTGTGAGATATATAATATGTTTGCCCCTAACCACTCCATATTTTTTTTTTTTTAAGTTAATTTCTTTTCGTACATTTATTCAAATGTTCTCTTTCATTTCCGTAGTTTAGTTCCGGTGTGGTATTTTTCGTTGTGAAACGACGAAGCGACTTTACATTATTAAAGTAAAATCTGTTAACAAAATTTTTGTTAGAGCTTAAATATATTTTATTTTATTTTTGTAAAAGTATTTTGTTAAACAATAATTATATTTTAGCTACATTATAATTCACCATAATTATTTTCTACAATTTTGTGTGAATTAGTTTCATTCTGCTGTGGAGGTTGTGATGCAAATTTCCAAAAGCAGATTACTGTGCAGAGTACTTTATGCAAATATTAGCATATAACATATATGATTTTCATATTCCTAGTATATCATAGTGATGAATTTTGCATAAATATGTCAAAAATAATTTCACTTTTTGCTTAATATTTTATTTCGTTTTGGGACATAATGGCTAAATGCCCCTGGCTACATTGCATCATTACATTTTCTGAATGCATGATGGCATATATTTTAATTTTCTACTCACTCATTATGGTTACGAGTTAATTAGGCAGAAAGAGATTATTTCATATTATGAAAATCGAGAAATATTTTAAACCAAAAATGAAGTAAATATACACTATTAAATTTGTGTTATTTTTATATTTTAATTTTGCAGCTTGAGAACATTATAACATTATTAGCTTCAATACTTAAGTTAGGATTTTGTTACTTTTTTATTTTAACTTACCTTCTGCTCAAAAAGAACTCGGATTTTGTAAATAAAATACACAAATTTAAATTTTATTCCAAATTTATTTTATCTCCTTGAAAATATGGTCCTTCCGAAATGATACACATATGCCAATGCTTAACCCAATCTTCCATACAGGAAAAAAATCTTCCAATCGGAAACAGGAAAAACTCGCACGGATTTGTACCATATGTCAAAAAAGGGTGTACCAATATAACAAAAAAAAATTAATTTATTACTTAAGGAGTAGTTAACAAACAACAAAATCCGGATACTTTTTGAGCAGAAGGTATACTCTATTTCTGGATACAGTAGATTGCCTTACTTAAGAAAATGTATTTTATTTATGTACATATACATAATGCTCTCAGTGCGGCATTTTCAACTTTCCAAGCGAAGCAAATGGGTCTTGTGGTAAAAGAGGACAAAATAAAGTAGTTTCTGTCAACAAACAAATCTCCTAAGCATCTTACGACCCACGTCACTATTGCCAATTATAAGTTCGAAATTGTGAAAGATTTTGTTTATTTGAGAACTAGCATAAACACCACAAATCAAGTCAACCTAGATTTTCAATGAAGATTCACTCTTGGCAACAGATGTTATTTCGGGCTTTGAGAGAAAAATTCTTTGGAAGATCTATGGTCCCTTACGCTTTGGCAACGAGTGTCGAATAAGATGGAACGATAGTTATGCGCATAAAAATTCAGCGACTTCGCTAGCTTGGACATGTCGTGCGTATGGATGAAAGTGCTCTCGCTAGATGGCAATATAATTTGACAGATCGCGAGTAAATCTAGATTGAGCCCAGATATACCAATCGAAAACATTATCAGTTGGTTTCACTTTTTTAACTGCAACTTCAAATTAATTCTTTTTTCATTAAAGTAAACTACGGGTAAAAATTTAATATTCGAAACAGAAATAATTTTTCTAGTAGAACAAAATTTTTTACACAATTTCTCTATTTTTGAGTAATTCCTTTTGTCAACTTGAAAGAGGTTTAAGAAGTTTATCTCTAAAATTATTAGTAAATATGGCATCAAAGATCACTGTAAGTATTGTATATGTCTTCATAAATAATTAATATTCTATATAATATGTTATTAAATTATAAAAGCAATTTCTACGTGGCTTTGTCACTCCCAATGTATTTCACCGTTTTGCTACCAAAAAGGCTGGACCACCCAAGTTTACCCCTGAAGAAAAAATTCGGTGTTTGCAGTATCGTTTTCAACGTGATGATGGGCTCGCGACTTGGTTGAAGCGTAGTCCAACTGACGAATACTTTTACCAAGTAACTTGGGGACTTATTATTTTTAGTTTGATAATGAATTTCCAATTGTTCTTTGGTAATAATCATTAAAATTCTTAATCAATCCAGTGACATTTATTTAAGAATTTTGATTTAATTAAATGAAGTGAATATTTGAAGTTAATAAAAATAAGAACTTCTTTTATATAACCTTATATTTTAATAAATGTTATATTAAACTATTAAAATTAATAATATATCAAATTAAGCAATTTGTATTTAATATATCGGGTGCAATACAATATAAACAGATGTTATTCGTATGAATTTCACGTAGTTGGCACAGGTATATCAGTTTCATAGATATACCTATATGTAGTTGGTAACGCTTCAATAGCTTAACCCTGTACTTTTACTCGGTAAGTCAGACTATTATAAAAAGGGACAATAAACTAGATATAGGATTTAAATCATATTGGTCATATTTACCAAAATGGAAAGCATGACCAGTACATTATTCATTCTGGGTTTTCAATTGAAGTGGAAGTGATTGAGTGATTGTACAATGTCTAGTGTAAGGTCATTACATCCGGTGAAATATTAGTAATAATTTATCTCAGTTTCTTTAGAGATATTATCCACAAAGAATTTTTTACTCATTACCAGGTTTAGGGAGGTTGAGTTAAAACTTGAATATACAGCCCCATCAAATATATTAACACAGAAATAAGAAGAAGCTTTAAACAATGACAATTAAAGATTTTCTATAAAAAACCTCTTTTCCTGATGGAATACGGTCAATGAATACCATCACCAGTATTGAAATTGTTTTTTGAAGTAATCAGAACTACAAGATTTTTTAACCTATCAGCCGGTTGTAGGGATATGTCATATGCAACCATGTGATATCGTGATATGTACAATAATGTTTTATTTGGCAGGTTGTATTCAATATGAAGATAGAGCGAAGTGCTTTAAACGATTTTACTTAAAAGGGGCGACCAAAATTTTGGAACTTTTGATATTTACATCTGTAAGTATGTCGGGTCTAAGGATACGTATTGAACTGTTGAAATATTTTTTAAGTGAAATTAGACCTTAGGTAGATGCAATAATTGTTGGCGTAATTAATTTATTTGAGGAAGAAGTAAGAAAGAATTTTTTTCTTTAAGTTATGCACATTATTGTTCGTTGTTCAATTTAACAAACTTTAAATCAACTTAGGTACTTACCTCTGATTAATCATAGACAAGCATAATTACAATAACAATAGGCTCATGGTAAGGAATGCCTGTCGTAAAATTCGAAGAAAGTCAAAAACATGCTAGGGTCTCGTGTGAGCATAAGACCATAATTATGTGTACGTATAAAGCGAGAAATCCCTGCCATATTAACATCTAGGCTCACGAACAAAGTCCACTTCGTGGAAAAACGAGAGAGTCTAGCGCGAAAAGCCAGGTATATGGTTTGGATTAGGCCAAGTACCTAACCCAGTAAAAAACAATCGACTTATGAATGTTGAACGACAGTATGTCGTGAAACAAGTTTAGGTGCTACATGAACTGTATAGTTCTGCATGATGATGATATATAAAAACCTAGGTTAAGTTAAACATAGAGTATTAAAAATCCAGTCGTAAGCTACTCTTCTAGTTTGTAACAGTTTTCCCCATCAATTTAAACAAAGTCGGTATAGAGTTTTAGTAAAG